GGAAGAAGAAAGTCATGAAGTTGTTAACACATTTTTGGCATCGATCGAAAAAACGGACAAGCGCTATGAAGTGGCTTTACCATGGAAACCTGTCAACATTCGTCTCGCGGACGAAGAAATTGCCAAAAAGCATTTAAACAGCCTCACGAAGAAGCTATTGAAACATGAAACGACACTAATCGAGTATGATGCATCTATACGTCAGTACCTGAATCAAGGCTTTGCAGAACGACTTCCACAGGAAAAAATCTCCAGTGACGAAGGCAGAGTTTAGTACATGCCTGACTACGATGTCTTCAGACCTGATAGCCTTTCGACTGAAATTAGGGTTGTATTTGATACATCGTCTAGTGGCACGGCATGTATGTCTCTGAACGAAGCCCTGGAGCCAGGGCCTAACTTGAACCCAGACTTACTGAAGGTGTTACTGAACTTCGGAACTCATCATATTGGACTTAGTGCAGACATTGAGAAGGCATTTCTCCAAATTTCAATGACACCGGCAGATCGCGATGCCCTACGATGTTTGTTGTATGAGCACTTTCCAACGAAGCAAGACCCAGATCCTGTGATAGAAGTTTGGAGAATGACATGAGTGGCCTTCGGTGTGACGAGCAGCCCATTCCTTCTCGCAGCCACAGTGCGTCATCATTTGTCGACTATTGAGGGTGATACACGCATTGCGAAATTCATCAGTGAGAGTCTCTGCGAAGGCGACCTATTGATGATTGATATGTGGGGTTTAACGTCCCAAAACCACCATATGATTATGAGAGACGCCGTAGTGGAGGGCTCCGGAAATTTCGACCACCTGGGGTTCTTTAACGTGCACCCAAATCTGAGCACACGGGCCTACACCATTTCCCCCTCCATCGGAAATGCAGCCGCCGCAGCCGGGATACGAACCCGCGACCTTCGGGTCAGCAGCCGAGCGTAGGCGACCTAATAACAGGAACGCAGACGGAAGAGGACGCTGTGAATTTTTATCGAGGCGCACTCGATGTCATGAATCAAGCGAGCATGACACTGCACAAGTGCAATTCAAATTCCAAGAGACTGGAACAACTGCTTAACGATGAAGGAACCGTATGTGCCCTGAGCTACATTGACTGTCCGACAGCAAGTGTCTCACGAGTTTTCGGACTTGTATGGGACAAGGATACAGATCATCTGGCGTTTTTTGTGGAGGCAATCTTAGACTTTTTGGATCAAACAGCAACACCAAACGATTCATGCTGCAGGCATCAGCTTGTATTTATGACCCACTAGGTCTGATTTCTTCGGTCACAGTGACAACCAAACTCATGTTTCAAACACTGTGAGAACTGAGTATTGAGTGGGACGCTCCTCTACTTAAAGATGTCAAGAACTGTTGAACGCAGTGGCACACTCAGCTACACTACCTAACGAGCATAACAGTGCCAAGAAGACACGGTGGCTTGCCCAATGACAGCTGGAAGCAAGTGCATATTTTCCCTGATGCGAGCCCCAAAGTGCTGTTGCGTATTTACGCCACCTTGGAATCAAGGAAGCCACAGTGACTCTCGTTCTTTCAAAGTACCGAGTAGCACCGATGAAAAAATTGTCTCTTCCTAGAATAGAATTGATGGGCATGGTTATAGATGCTCGATTAAAGGAATACTTGGAACAATCATAGGGTCTCTCTGTAGACAGATGGCACATGTGGACAGACTCATCTATTGCACTACATTGGGTACGAGGTTCCGCGCAACAATGAAAGCCCTTTGTCGCCAACTAACCGAGTTTTGGAAATTCAGCAGAGAACGGATCCAGAGCTCTGAAATCACTGTCCAGGGAGTGAAAATCCCGCCAGCGGCATGCTCAGTGTGGTGGAATGGGCCTGCTTGGCTTGCACAGCCATCTACTTGCTGGCCAAATTATGAATACACCGCTGACGTGACCATAGCCGAAGAGAAAAGAAAGATAGATCGAGTTCACAACGTGACAGAGATACTACCTCTGCAAAAATACAGCTCTCTCTCTAAAGTGGTTAGAGTTATTGTCTGGGTACTGTGATTTGTTCACAACTTTAACAACCCCTATGAGAAACGTGATGGGCATTTTACCACAGAGGAAGTTCAAGACGCACACACTTGTTTGATTTTTCAAACACAATTGGAGGCATTCCAAAATGAGCTGCAATGTCTTTGCCGCTCCATTCGCATGCCAGGTGATTCCCCAATACGAGACCTGGGCGTCTTCTGCGACGACAAGGGCGTTTCAAGAGTAGGAGGAAGGCTGAATGCTGCCGAGATGTCCTACACCATTAAACATCCGATTATCCTCCCGTTGAGGCATCCCATCACAGAGCTCGTCATAAACGCAGCTCACCGTCGCCTCCTGCATGGTGGCGCTCTAGAGACCCTTACAGAACTGAGAGAGAAGTACTGGATAGTGCGAGGAAGGCAAATGATGAAAAAGGCACTGAGAAAATGTGTGACATGCAATCGTTTCAAGAGCCGTGCGGCTACTGAACCAATCACTCCTCTACGTCATGAAAGGTTGACACAAGCGTCCTTCTTCGATGTAACAGGTGTTGATTTCGCTGAGACACTGAACACAAAAGATCAGGAAGGCAACAGGAAGTCTTACACCGTCATTTTCACGTGTGCTGTTACGCGAGCAATACACCTTAAAATGGTGACCGACGTGTCGACCCCTAACTTTCTGATGGCCTTCTGAAGATTCATCTCGAGGAGGGGCGTTTGTCGAGTCATCTTCTCGGACAACGCTAAGACTTTCAAGCGTGCTCCTAAGGATCTGCAGAGACTGTGGGCCACAATACGAGGAGAACACATGCAGAATTTCTTCTCAAACCACCAGATCCGCTGGAACTTCATAATTGAAAAAGCAGCTTGGTGGGGCGGGTTCTGGCAGAGAATGGTTCATTCCGTGAAAGCATCCCTGAAGAAGGTCTTGGGAGACAGGTACTGCAGTTTCGAGGAGCTCACGACAATACTAATTAAAATTGAAGCTATCCTCAGCTGTTGACCTCTGACTTACATCTACACAGACGGGAACGAACCCGAACCTCTAACACTGTCTCATTTCCTGATAGGTCAGAGACTCGCAACTCTTCCTGACAGAGACTCCACCGCTGAAGTCGCCCATAAACCTGGTCAGCTCACTCGTCGCTGGTACTACCGACAAAAAATAACCGACCAGTTTTGGCATCGATGGCAGAGAGAGTACCTCACGAATCTCTGATCAATGCATTTCTCTGTGCCAAACTTCTCAAGTGCACCAAAGCAAGGAACCCTCGTCTTAGTTCATGAGCCTCATCTGTCAAGGCAGCTGTGGAAAGCGGGAGAAGTGGCCGAGGTTTTTCTGGGACGTGATGGGAAAATCTGAGCTTGCATAGTGTGCATGCCGAACGGAGCTAGGTTGAGAAGACCAGTTCAACTTTTATACCCCATGGAATACATGGACGAATGACCAGAATCTCATTGTGGGTGGAGTGTGAAGAAACTGCCAAGTTCAGCCTTTTTTCTTTTGCCAACTGGCATCCATGTATTCTCCCGACCTCGCTCGGCCACAGGCATCCCTATCGAAATAAAGTTAGTTCTTTTGTTCATTCGAAACGGAGCAGTCGGTTCCTTTCTGACCTACGATAGTTTCTTCATACGCGTTGTGCGCGTTATCTCATCGGATTATCTAGATTGTTCCCAGTCATTTGGACACAGTTTGCGCAAGGCAGCCTTACAGGCATAATGGTGTGGTAGCGAAAATAGAAAGCAGCGCGTGCGGCCTTAGCATTACAACATTACAAAGTTCTGCTATTGCAGTCATCGCTTCGCCGGTGAAACTGGTCTTTTAGTTGTTGTTTTTTTTTTCAGTTTACATGATTCGGCTAACAGCTTTCCTGTTCAAACATATATAGAGCCATATAATAAGGCATGGGCACAAACGCCACCTTAACAAGATTCATGCAAGAAGCGAAATACGATGTGAATAGTAAAACAGAACATGACCGAACTAAAATTAACGCAAGTTGCGTCTCAAGTGTAGCACAAGCGTGTTGCTCGGTCGATGATAAAACTTGACTAAATTTGGCGTTGCACACGCAAATCGCCATTTAGGCGCAGCTTGGAGCAGCAGGTCAAATTGGCGCGAAATGATGCAAATGGCGCAGCACTTCCACCCCTGCACTTGACAGTATACATCGAGCATTGGGCAGTGTGAAACACCCTAAGAAGAGAACTTTCCTGCATGCATTGTAAAAGTGGTGTGATTAAAAGGGCATTGCACAGAGCGAGTCTATACTACCACTTGTACTCCCATGCAACCTGTACAGCAACCAAAAAGCATACTTAATGATTCATATGAGGGTTTTAACATCCCAAAACCACCATATAGACGCTGTAGTGGAGGGCTCCGGAAATTTCGACCACCTGGGGTTCTTTAAAGTGCACCCAAGTCTAAGCACACAGGCCTACAGCGTTTCCGATGGAGGCGGAAATGCAGCCGAGTACCTTAGCGACTAGAGCCTGCGGTGGGGCCAAAAAGCACACTTAGTACGATATCAAAGAACAAGGCAGACTTCCGGCTCCTGACAAGTAATGCATAGAGAGGAACTGTTTATATAGATACCATGTTTACTCCCACTTAACCTGCACCCCAAACGAAAATTGCTGAAATGTAAAATTACAAGAACAATGCATAGTCACGTGAGATCAGTTTTCTTGCAAAATCGTGAAGCAGTGTCATGAAGCTAACTTGTACACTAAAATGCAATAAAATGTTCGAATTTTATGTTAAGTTCATTGATATAATGATGCAAGTCGTTTTTTTCTTTTTCTTTTTGGCGTGAAGGGGGGATACTCAATACATACGGCTTTGACTTTATCGAGAAGATCTTTAATTGTCTTTCAAAGCAGTGAATAAGTCGTACATGCATAAATTAAAAAGCAAGCCAGTATGAGCCAGCATCCCCTTGTTATTATTGGTCCCTGAAAGTGTCTGCAAGTAACTTGGCTTACCTTATCGTAAGTTGCGTCATTGGCCCAACAGATGTAAAGCTGTAAAGAAGTTTTGAGGATGCCAATTATTATCAAGTGAGACACACACAGCATCAACGTTCCTCTAGGAGGTATAGAAAAGTGTATTGCCTATTTTGTAGGCATTGCAGGCATGATATCTTATAAAACTACAGAATCTAAGAGAAAACATGAATATTTCCGCAACTTGGGTATTTTCAGTCTGTGCTAATACCAGGGATGAGATGGCTGAGACTAAACTGGGAGCAGCTTTTTGAGCAGCAAAATTTCAATTTTGTAGAGGAACAATCTTGCTTGAAAGCAGTTAGCGTCCTGGGAGCTTGAAAATACAAATTTTAGCAATTTGGGGGCACTAGAGCATATTTTATTTGGTTTATAATACACATAACACTGAAAAAGATTTCCAAGGAAGTTTTTAAACAGATTATCGCCAGGTGTAAACTCCACTACCGTTTTACATACCATGTGACCTATCTGGCCCTCGTAACAAACACGTGAAATAATATTTAATAAAAAAGGGTTTTGTTGAAAACTAGGTTTTCGGAAAATTTAAAAAAAACCCCAAAAAGAAATTCGAAAATTGTGATTGCACAACAATCTTTGTTATGTAGCAGTGATCCTTCGCATAGAGAAAAGCCTGACATGATAGCGTCAAGAGCTTTTAACAAACAACAAAAGCGCGCTGCATCGCCGTTCGCAGCCACCTCCTGCAAGACCACCTTCAAGATTGCAGCAGCACCAAAGAAACCTCTCCGCACCGACTATTTCCACGCCTCTCCACGCAAGCAAAATAAAGCGTTAATAATACAGCGCACATAAGGCGGTTCTTTTTTTTTTTTTTCATCGTAGGTCATCGCCATCATTGTAGAACTCCCGATAATGCATCGACTTGCGACTGCCGCTCCGAGACTCGCATAAAGCGCTCGTGCAGCGCAGATAAGAAATTTGTGTCCATGCAAACGGACCGTCGAACGTAAAAAGGCGGGTCTTGTTGCATCAAAAGGAAAGAAAGAAAACAAAGTTGCTCTGCTACCGACTGAAACACCAATCGAGCTAAGCCTAAAAGCATAGCCTAAAAGCATAGCCTAGAGCCGACGCACATGCAGTGATGCCTCTTAAAGCGCACGTTGAGAGTTTAGATTACAAAACCGAGCAGTGGCAAATCACCATTTATGAAAACTGTGACACGTGATCATCGTCACATCACGAGTCACGAATAAAGCACCGAGGTGCCCGTTCATATTGTTAAAATGGTTTGAACGCGCGTTCTGAACGAGCTTTGCAAAATAACCAAGTGTTTTTCTCTACCTGCAGACACCGATGTGCGGATTCCGCGTGCAATGGCTTTTTAAATGCAAAATACACTGAGAACTAACTTGTCAAAATAAGTTAGTAGCTAATGGGCATAAACCCGGAATGGGCTGCATGCGTTCTGTCACTCATGGTACCAATTTTGAAAACACATGTGCACGCGTCAGAGCATGCAGGAGAAGCATCGCATGCAGGGAAATGACTCCCTGCATGCGATGTTCACAGCTGTCTCACCCCTGCAATACATGTGAATGATGTGCGGGATCGTATGTCTGGCAGACAACCGTGAAAAAGGCTTTGTGAACTTATGACACCTACTATACATTGCAGGCCATGAATATGTAACTTACTCAGCCAATGACTAAAGCTTCAATAACATAATACTGCCACAGAGATTGCTTCTACTAATTATTTTACAAAGAAGACCAACGGAACGCTATGTGAGCGTCTACAGTGCCTCGCAACTAACGAGACGCTATGTGGGCGTCTGCAGTGCCTCGCAACCAACGAGACGCTATGTGGGCGTCTACTGTGCCTCGCGGCTGCTCACGCATCTTGGTCAGAGCAGCGCATGCCTCCGGTGTACGAGCACGAGCCAGGAAGACTGACGGAGGAGTTGTTCAGAAAGGGACACGTACGCGGAACGCTTTTAGCAGACTCTTCTTTGTGACATAGCTACTTTTCTGGGCACAAGTTCGCCCTCAATTAATCATTGTGTGTGTTCCCCCATCTTGTATTACGTGATATTTTGGTGGAGGTGCGGGGTATGATTGGAAGTCCTCTTGGCGCAAGAGAAAGAAGCCCTGACCCCCTGCGATTGGAGCCTGGTGAACTTACTCCAGTACACCAGCGTTCAAGTCGCCGCCTTCAAGGTGAGTCACCTGAATTCGGACCACTCCTCACTACTCCAGCAACATGGGCAGTGGTAACCACCAATCTCAGAGAAATGGCCAATCCAGCATCAACATCTGAACTCATAGTGTCTCCCCCGTGCTTACCTGAACCCTTCCACGGTGACGCGCTTGAAGATGTGGAAGACTGGCTGGAGCATTTCGAGCGGGTCGCAAGGACCAATGCCTGGGATGAGGCGAGGAAATTGGGCCGCGTGTACTTTGCGTTGGAGGATGGAGCGAGAATATGGTTTGAGAACCACGGAGGGGCAATAGCGTTGTGGGAAGACTTTCGGCAGCAGTTGCTTGCTGCGTATGCCAGCACGGATCGCCGGGAAAGGGCAGAAAATGCCCTTCAATCAAGAAACCAACGCACGAACGAGAGTGTCAGCAAACGAGCAGATCCGAACATGATTGAAGAAAAGAAAGTGCGCCATTTGATGCGTGGATTCAAACAGGACTTATTTGCAGGCCTGGTTCGCAATCCTCCTCGTACCGTTGCTGAATTCCGCACAGAAGCCACGACCATAGAAAGACCACTGCAGCAGCGTGCCCGTCACTACAATCGGGATGCCGGTAGTGAGCCCGCGAGCGTCTTTTTGGCAAAGCGAGACAGCAGCAACGAGACGCTGAGGGAGCTGGTGCGTTCCATCGTCAAAGAGGAGCTTCGTAACATTCTCCAACCGCAAGTCATGCCGACAGTTTCATGCCTCACATCCGTCATCCGTGATGAAGTTCGGCACGCCATTCTTCAGCCGGAACCAGAAGTGCAACCTCTTCGACTTCAACAACCCCTGCAGGAACGCCATGTATCAACGTACGCAGACCCTTTACGCCAACCTGCCGTCCACAATGCCTCGTTCGCAACTCCCGGTGCTCGCCAGTCAGCTTCAACCAGCCCACCTTTTCTTGGAGAGCAGAGACCACGGAAAAGCGATGTGTGGGGCACACCTGACAGGACACCGCTCTGTTTTCACTGCGGAGAAGCTGGACATCTTTACCGACACTGTCCATACCGAAGGGTTGGTCTGCGTGGGTTTTCTGTGTATGCTCCGTGCCCACGTAATGGTGAAAGGCCTATAGAAATAGAGGAGTACCTTTCAAGGCACGGATCTCCAGCCGCTAGCTTCCAGCACCAGCCAAGGTCACCAGCACCAAATCGTTATCGATCGCCAAGTCCGCAACGTTCAAGTTCACTACCAAATTCACGAAACCATCGGTCAACGAGCCCGCGTCAGGAAAACTGAAGCCAGCGACCTGGGGAGGCAAGGCCGCTGATGTCCGACAGAGCAAAGATCCTCAGTCAAGGCCCCAGCGAAGCAGCAACGAGCAGAAAATGACGGCGAATATAAGTAACAAAAAAATTTCTTTAGACTTGCGTGTTACTACGGACGGGCGGGATTTAACGTATTGGTTGATACTGGTGCTGATTATTCAGTCGTAAGCTATGCAATCACAAAAGATTTGAAGAAAGTTTTGACGCCTTGAAGTGGACCAAAAATACGCACGGCTGGGGGCCATCTGATAACACCTCTGGGAAGATGCACCGCCAGGATCGGCATTCAGGATGCCACTTATGTCGCTGATTTCCTAGTTCCGCCAGAATGCTCGAGAGACGTAATAATCGGAATGGATTTCCTGCTAGATAACGGCGCCATAATAAACCTGCAGAATTCTAGTATTTCTTTTTCGACAAAGCTGGTCATAGACGAGGAGACGGGAAATTCTGCGTTGCATGTTATCAACGGCGACGTAACCGTGCCACCACGATGCAGCGTCCTGGTTGGCGTAAGGAATGACGCATTCGTCGACTCTGAAGGAATAGCGGATGGCAATGTCGAGCTGCTGCTAAAGAAAGGTATTTGCATAGCTTGAGGCATTATTCGCTTACGTGATGGGCTTGCCAACGTACTGCTCACTAATTTCGGAAATGAAATTCAGCATGTCGCAAAAGACACTGCCATCGCTTTTCTACACAGCTTTACTGAAGTTAGCGACTTATGTGCCATTGCGTCAGAGCCGCCTAATTCGGAAACTACGCATGACCTTGGAACATCAGTTTCGATCAGCCGAAGTCTATCGCCAGCCGAGAGGAAAATCCTGGAAGACCTGATAGATGAATTCGCAGAATGTTTTTCCACCTCATCAAAAGTACGTCGCACGCAGATCGTGAAGCACAGGATTATAACAGAGGAAACAACCAGGCCAGTGTATCAACACCCTTACAAAGTTTCGCCGAAAGAACGAGAGGTTATAAAGAACCAGGTGCAGGAGATGTTGCAGGATGATGTCATTCAGCCATCTAGCAGTCTGTGGGCATCGCCGGTAGTTCTCGTGAGAAAAAAAGACAACACGTTGAGAATCTGTATAGACTAGCGGAAACTAAACAGCGTAACCAAGCGGGATGTATACCCCTTACCGCGTATTGATGACACATTGGATCGGCTACGGCACGCCAGATATTTCTCTTCGCTCGACTTAAAAAGCGGTTATTGGCAAATCGAAGTGGATGAAAGAGACTGTGAATAGACCGCTTTCATAACCTTGGATGGCTTGTACGAGTTTAAAGCACTACCTTTCGGCCTCTGTTGTGCGCCAGCGACATTCCAGCGCATGATGGACAGTGTTCTCACGGGGCTGAAGTGGCAGTCATGCCTAGTCTACTTGGACGATGTTGTGATATTTTCTGCGACGTTTGACCAACATGTAGAGAGACTGCGGTCAGTGCCTCAATCTATCCAGTCGGCCGGCTTGACAATCAAACCAGAAAAGTGCCAGTTTGGCTCCGACAAGCTTCGTTTTCTGGGACACGTAATCAGC